AAACTTGGCCAAGAGGACACCGAGAAGGTCCCTCTCCTCCCAGCACGCATGCACAGAAAGCAGCCAGCAAACACACCGCTGCCAAGCCAAGCAAAGCAGTGTTGCCGTTAAAAATAAGCTTCTCAAAACATGAAAGTTCCCTGCACCTCTCTGACCAGCACAGAGAAGTACAGACATAGACAATATGGGGGGGGCACCTGGCAGGTTGCCTTTTTTCCACTAGCAAAATAGGCAGAAAATTGCAAAACCTCCTGCTGCTTGCACCACCTAAGGCACCGCAAGGTGTGGGGTGAGGCAGTGGGAGGCGGCTGGGGATAAGCAGGGGTTCGTCATCAAAGCTGTGATGACTGAGGGAGTGTGCACGGCAGCCAGGAGCTGATGGCCCTGACAGCCGCAGCTGTCTAGCCAGCACATCGCTACCTGACTCACCGCCATGCAAATCAGATAGAAAAGTTGTTGGTAGGGGTTTTTTGGTTTGCATTTTTTTGTTTGTTTGTTTTTTTTTCCCCAAGAAACATTCAGGAGCAGCTTTCCTTCAAGACTGGATAATGAAAGAGAGTATTTCTAGTCCTGTGTTCTGTATGGATGGTGTGAGTGAGACTGGTTTGTCACATAATATTGTGAAAATGAGAAACTACACGATGCAGTACTGACATTTAAAAAAAAAACCAAACCGCAAGCCACATCCCCAAAAGAAGCTTTTCCATTCCCTCCGAAATCCAGTCAAAATTTATTTTTGCAAGAATCGCTGTTTACAGTTGCAGTTGTTTTGAATAAATATTACTCTCTTGTTCAAGCTCAGGATGGAAACAAATTTCAGAGCGTTATTGTTTCCAGTCAGAAATTCTGGTTTTGACCAATCTCTTGACGGTTTATCATCAGGCTCATCACAAAGGCTAGTAGCTTTTTGCTTCCTTGTTTGCATGGCTACGAGGCTCAGCATTTACCCACCCAGGAGGAGCTTCCCAAGCCCAGGAGCCCAGCTCGCAGACCTGCCAGCAGATCTCCTTGACCAGCCTGTTATGGAAATTACGCGTTCCAGCCACTATAACAGGGTTGGACTCTAGGGCATGGTGCACTACTGATGTGGAAGCCCTCCCTTGCGCTGGCCCTGGTGGGCTCTCAGCCTGGGCTGGATGGTGAGAGGAACACCCCTTTGCCTTCTCCCCCTCCCCTCCTCGACATGGCTATAAATGGCTTTTCTGGACAGGCCACTCATTCATTTTTTTAGCAGCTGCAGCTCTTCAAGCGCCATTCCTGTAGACTTGCTGTCCCCCACGCTGCTACTCCCTTTCCTGAAGCCTTTGCATGTTTGTGAAGACCCAGGAGGTGGGTGAGATGCCCTCAGCTTGCCCCTGCTCCCACCTCTGATGCTCACCAAGATCCCAGCTCGAGCGTTCTTTGCACAGGCAGGGCTGCCCTTGTCCCTCTTCCCCTTTGTCTGCCCATGCTGAGAAACCTGTGCCTAGCATAACATCGCGATATCAGACCTTCGCCTCCTGCGGGAACACGGGGCTGCTGAATACAAGATATTGCACGTACAGGGCCATACCCCGTTGCCCCTGGAGCTGGAGCAAGCCCACCACCACGCTCTGAACCCAGGCTGCATTCATGGGCCTCACAGCTGGTGGGAGGCAGAGTGTTTTACTTGTTACATGGAAAAACACATCAAATCTAATTTTTCTTCAAATATTATAGTCTATTGTTCCTTGCCCCAGCACCTCCCTAAATACATTGCCATGATATTCTTCTTTGTCATCTAACGTAACGACAGATCTCCCATGGAGCTTTACATGCTGGGAAAAGTGGGATCTTAAAACTGCTGCCTGAATTGTGTTTCATTTGGAAGAGTTTCCTTAGAAGACATAAATCCTCCAACGATGTTCTCTGCAAACTTTCCGAGGAGCACATTGAAGTTTGATTTATAGCACCATCTTCCACTGGAAGATATTCTCAGGGTCTGCTTTCATGATGGATTTACTAAAAAAATAAAAGCAAAAAATGGTATAAATCCTGACGAAGACATGAACAAGGTGGCAGAGAAGCCAGTAACCTGGAGGCCAGACTTAAACAGAGCAGTGGTGGCACTGCTGGACTGACACTGCCAGGAGATGGGCTCCAAATCACCGTGAAAAAAGTGTATCATGCAGCAAATATGTAGAAACCCAAATGGATAACCTCATCTCTAGACAGTGGAGAAAAATGACCTTAGATGTTGTAAAAATTGACTTCGTTTGAACTAATAAAACTGAATAGCCACATAGCTTTTGTCATATGAATGACAGCTCCATACAGAGCTGGGCATTTAGGAAGAATGACTTAGTACGGAATTCAACCATAATATATGCTGATTTATTAACATATGGCAGCACCTTACAACAGCTTAATAAAAGCCAGATTGACTGTAAAAGCACATTTTTGTATAGGTGATATTTCTCAAAAATAAGAATGATTTTAACTCTCTGCTTTCTGCTGCTGTATGCTTTTTGTCTTGGTTTTCCATTAATCTTTAATATACTTGAAATGAATATTTAAAGTAATATGGATGATTTGTATTTGTTATGGTTAAGGAATATAAATTTTCCTGACAGTATGATGTGATCTGTCATCCTCTGTTGGTGTAGGTGCTGAACACAATGTTTGCAAGAATATTTGTCCTGACAGTTGGTAAATATCACGAGTTAAAAGTAAGCAAATATAGGACTTGAAAGGTCATCCCAGGGCAGTTTTTTTGCTTAAAACAGCTTGAAAAAGAGTGTCAAAGACGTGGCACTCTTTGTGCCTTTTCAGCGGTCCTTAAGTGTTTTCTCTGAGCATCAGCAAAAATGGTTTTTTGGAGGAGTGGGCAGGAGTAGAGCTTGCGCATGTTTGTTGAGAACAGGCTATTAAATAGCCAGGGCTGGACTGGGACCAGCAGTGCCTCCCTCCACATCCAGCAGCTGCATTTGTCATCAAATTTCACAACTTTTTTCTTTTGTTTCCTTTACATCACACTCTGTTTTACCTTCTGCTGTTTTTTCAATTTAGTTGCTCCCCCACAAGACCTTCGGATCACTGATCCTGGACTCCTAGGTTCTCTCGATATAGAGTGGAAATCACCATCCAATGTACAAATCTTCAATGAATGCACAGTAAAATACAAGTTTGAATACCGTAACACTGGTGACACAGACTGGAAGGTAAGGCAAAGCACGGTTTAATTCTCTTAAATCCAGGCTCTTGTTCTGCCTTTAGTTCCTGCGTAGGTTTATGTTTGTGTTTCAAGTAGGAGTGGTACCAAAGCAGTTCCAGTTTTCCACGAAAAAGCCAGACTGTTCCAGTAGTCTACATCTTCTGCCAGATGGGAATGTGCTTTGAAATCTAACAGCAGCAGCAGTCAGAGAAGGGGCTATATCTGTCAGAGGGTGTGGTGCTTGCTGCCAAAATTAATCCAACAATATCTAGAAGCATTCCTCATTGTAAAAGGCACTACACTTTTTAGAAAGTCTTTACGGGGCTCGAACTGAAACTCAGTGTCAACAGATCCTTAGGGATGCAAAGTGGTGAATAATTAAAGATTAAGTTTCATTAATTATCCTAATGCTCTAACATTCTCTTTATCCAGAAGGGTGTTTCTAATTACCATTTACTTTTGTCTTTTAGATATGGTTGACTCTAACTCAGTTCTGTGATAAAATTGTCAGTCTTCTCTCACTGATACGTAGCAGAGCAATAGCAGGCAAGCACAGTACAGGAAGGGTTGTGAGAATGTATTTTGGGAGTATGTAGAAGATGAAAGCTGCTGCAGATTAGGAAGGTAAATGGAGTGGGGAGAGGAGAAACCCAGCAGTAGGCTGTTTGGTTGGCACAAGGTACAGAGGAACACATGAAAAATACACTGAGGATGACCCCAACAACCCAAAATACAAATTGGTGTCCTGAAAGAAAGGGAGTGTTTGGGGGGGGTTTTTTTGGGTTTTGTTTTTTTTTTTGTTTTTTTTTGTTTTTTTTTGCACAATCCTAAAGCAGGGATGCTAGAGAGCTTGCCAGCTCAAGAGACCAGGGACGGAGAGAGAAGGAGCAGTCACATTGGGTTAGCAGTGCTGTGGACCTCAGCCTTTTGCTGTGAACAGTTTTCGCATGTCCTGCATGAGCTGGTCATCTGCTTCATCTCCCTGAAGCAGTAAAACCAAGGCTGCCAGGCTGTGCCCAGCCACCCTGCAAACAGGCTTTGGCCCAGCCATCTCATGGGAGCCTGCAGAGGTGGAAGAGCACGGTGCCTCCCACCCTGTTTCAGCTGTGGGTTGCAATCGTGAGGACATGGAAAGGGGCTCTTTGACCTGATATCGGTCATGATGCACGTCACACTCTCAGCCATGCAGCTGTGCAGATTCTTCTGTGATGATTATAACTAGCACAAAGGAAAAATAATGCAGTTTTAAAAACCACATCAGAATTCCCTAAATCACAAGTAATAAAATTATCTCATACAAGGCAGATCTAAAAAGTAGAAAAAAATCACCTCTGGTACCTTGCCGAAAGCTTGACTCCAGATAAGGTCACAAAGAAGAGTCAATCTGAAAAAAAAAATCCATGAGACATCAGTGGAAGCAAGAGTCATTGATGGCTCAACAGGGCTCTTTTACACTCTGGGATTGCTGACAAAAAGCCTGACTGTGGGCTGTGCCATCGCAGTTCCCACTGCAGTACCTGTATGCATTTTACAACACATTACTTCTGTCCTGCTTGGGTTAATGTGCCACCTTCTCTCTCTCAACATTTGTTATAACTCTTCCCAACTTATTTTTCCCTTGTGTAACGTAAGGGCGAGTAAAGTCTGAGGGGAGAAAAAAAAAAAAAAAAGAAAAAAACTTCAGAGGGGGTGCTCAAAAAGTCCCGCAAAGGTCTGAGCCCAGCAGCGGGCAGTGGTGACCCCACACCGCGCTGCCTGGCTCCTGCTGTCTCCTTGCAGGGTGTAGTTGTGCTTCCCATGGGAACCATCAGTTACAAGACTCGTTGCTCTTTCTGTTTCTGATTAGCTCACATCACGAACAAGTGCCTTTTATCTGGATTTACAGCGGCATCCTCGCCAGACCCTACCCAGTGCTCCGGGCTAGTGGGGATCCCTTGAACCATAGTCTGCTCTGACTTGGCATTGCTGCTGTTCGGTGGGGTGCAGGGTCTCAAAGCCAGTGAGGCTGGGCAGAGCAGGTGGTACAAGAGTGCTGGAGAAGCACCAGGAAGGAGGAGCAGGACAGAAATACAAAGAAACATTAAAGCACACAAATGAACCTACTCGCAGCTAGTGTAGGAGCAATGGCAGCTAATTCTTCAGCCCACTTAGCAACAAAAGAAGTGCTTATAAAATCTGTCTTTCAACCAGGTTATTTTTACTAGGAAGCTAAAATTAAGAGTTGGATTTGACCTCAGCAGGACCGCTGAAGTGAAGGTACAGACACTGCTCGAAGGACGGTGCACCAATGATGTGGAGGTGCAAAGTGACTGGATTTATGCTACATTTCAGGTCCCATTGCAAGGTTAGGAGCAGCCTTTGGTACCTGGAGCAGTTTTGCACTTTGCATGAGCCTGTTGCATGAACCACTGCTGGCCTGAGGGTTGCTGGATGGACAAGCCATTACAGAGCTTGTCGAGGTATAAGACACCAGAGCATCTCTGCTTCCACTGGCTGTGGTTGTGGTTACTGGATACTTGGGGCTCGTTTCCCTCTGCCCATACCCTGGCTCCGCTGGGTTGCCCTGCACGAGCTCCACTGCTGAATGAAAAGGTCAGTTATGCATCTTTCTGCCCTAAGTACAGGGAACTGGCTTTTATAGGGAACAGAGCACTTGGCAGCAAAACTATCTAATAACAGTGACTGGCCGCCTGTTCCTCTCCTTTTTTGTTTTTCAACTGCAGCACACAATTGCTCAAAGATATAAAATCATATTTCAGCTGGGCCTGACCAGTGCATTGCTAAACAGTGGTTATTTCCTTCTCATTTGACAGGAAGACTAGAATCAGAGGTTCAGAATTTCCACTGCATCTATCATGACTGGAAATACCTCAAGTGCACTTGGCAACCAGGTCTTCTTGCTCCTCGCAGTGTCCATTACAGACTATATTATTGGTATGTATCAGCAAAATAGAAAAATGTCCAGGTAGCAAAGTGAACCTCTCAGGATACTAAAATGCCACGGCAAATATGCTTTTATGGCTGGCAATGCTATTACACGATCCACCCAGAATGAGCAGAAATAATGCTCCAAGCAACATGTGCCTTCTGGCAAGGAAATACCAAATCCCTGCTTCCTTCCTTAAAACCAGGCTTTTGCTGACCTTCTACAGGGAGTGCCTTCTCCCTTCCTCCTTTCCCTTGTATTCACCCCCATGGAGTGCTTTTTGCATGTTGTCCACCACAAAGCCTTGTCCTTTCCCTTTGCTGAACGTACCTGGATCATTCTGGCATCACATTTCCCTTGATTACAGCGTATATATCTCTCTATAGGATAGGATTCA